CTGTCGCTGCTTCAGACGTCTGAGAACTTTCTGGATCGTTCCGGCTGTTAACAGCCCTGGCAGCCATTGATGATGCAAAAAAGGACAAGCAGATCTTTTAAGTCAAATAAATATGAATTTATTACAGAAACTGTTAATGCTGTTCACAGATTTGATGCTTCGCAGGTTAAAGTTTCAGTTTCACTAAAACATCGACTGGATTGAACAAAGTGCAACGACTGAACTGTGTCGCTTCGTTAAATCACACTGAACTTTACAAAAGCTTCACATTTCACTTCTTCTCAGTGTTTCGGGTGAATCTCGAAGGTCGAGACGCTACAGTGTCGCTTCAGACGAACAAACGTCCAGAAAACCAAAAGACAAACCAAACAAAGCGACGAGCCGACGTTCAGCTCGACGGGACGAAGGAGGAAACTCCGACAGAAAGACAACGTCAGCGTTTGTTTCTGATCACAGATCAATACCATCAATCAATGCTAACATCATCATCATCATCTTCGTCTTTTACATCAGAATCATCAAAAACAATAAAAACTGACACCAGATCTGAAGCATCAGGATGAGCTGCTCCAACAACGTCCACTTCATCAACCAATCAACAATCAATTCTGCTGATTGATCAGCTTCATGTCCTGTTCAGCGAGTTCAAGTTAAAAGTCGGATTAAATCAAGAGTTCAACGTCACAGTTCAATGTCAGACGGCTGTTTTACACGTCAGGAGTCGACTGACTCACTGTTTTAGGGCCGATATTGATTATCGATTGACGGATAAATGGCCCTTCAAACAATACAGGAGATCTGGAAGCGGCTGAATGTGTTTCTGTAAAACTGATCGTTCTGATTGACGAGCTCCGATTCAGCTGTTTTGGGCCGAACACGGAGCTGCAGGCTTTAGTTTGTGCAGCAACAGAAAGCAGAATAACGGAAATAAGGAAGATTTGAAACTAGATTTTATCACATCGTCTGAAGCAGAAGAAGTCAACAGATAAAATCCTCCCGTAACAGAACCTGAGTGTGATGATGGAAACCAGAACCCGAGTTCTGACCCGTCTGCTCTTTATTCTGCATTGACCAATAATAAATGAACTTCTTTCTGTCACTCTGTCGTCTAAAAATTAACCAGAAATTTGAACAGAAAAATGCATTTATGGACGTTCTATGGCTTCTAACCAAGAATGAAAGGTTCTGATCCGATCTGTCTTTGAATCAGCGAAACGTCTCTGAACCAGCGACTGAAGCTTCAGCGCACGGACAGAATGATGAAACTAATAATCTGAAGGCCGATCAGGTGACAGATGTTTTGTCTGTATTCTGGGTTTCCATCAAGTCTGACAGATGTAAACGAGGAAACAGCTGATTTCATTTTATGCTGACGAGCTGTTTTAGTCTTTGAACCTCCTCACAGACGACAGGAGGGACGACTCAGCTGCCGGGTTTCTCATCTTAATGAGGCTTCTGGAGAAAGGATCAGTTTTATCTCCATAAACGTTAATATCTACGTACCAAACATTGATGTGACGTATTTGGAACTCACTGCTGATTTGAATCTTATTAACGGATGAATCCGTGAATTAAACCATAAAAAAAGACTTTTGCTCCTCAGCAGGGCCTCCAGACGAGTCAGAGCCTGAGTGAGGAGGTGAAGCCGGCTGCAGGATGTGGGCGGCGCCCTGCAGCGGCGTGTCCGACAGCGTGGACGGTGGGAGCAGCTCGCCGGGCGTCACCGAGAACAAACCGCTCCGCCTACAGCCAATATTTGCTCTGCAGCCGTCGGCGGACCTTCACCTGACGGAACCTGCACAGTTCACCACCGTTCACTCACATCAGCAGCTGAGCCTGAGCCACCGGAAGCGGAGCCAGAACCAGAACCGGCCTGCTCAGACTCAGACCAGGTGAGTCAGGTTTAACGTTCATAAACCAACGACATGCATCAGTGGAGCAGAAACGCTCACTGAAGGAGGACTGGTTCAGATCGACTGATCCACATTGTCAGAAACACTTCAGACTTATTGAGCTAAAAAACATCAAGTGTGCAACTATTTTGCTAATTTATGAATAATTTTGAAGCAAAAACATGTTCAAAGTGAAAACGTTGAGACGTCTACGACTCCAGTGAGAACATCGTCTATCTACACTCGTATCACACATCTGATGCTAAACCTGTAGAAACACTTTGATCTTTAACTGCATATGAAAAACATTGTGCGAACATTTCTACGTGTGACGCGCTCCGTCAGATATTTAGACGCTTATTATCGACACGAACACAGAACACAAGCTGGTGTCTGAACAACACATTCATGTTACACACACGTGATCAGATAATAGTGATCAATAGAAACGTTTATTAGTTATAAAAGCTTCATATCACCTGTTTATGTCTACAAATGTCTGTGTGTACGTACAGAACAGGAATAAAGATGCACGAGGCCTTTAGTTGTCCTGAAGTCACTCTGAAAGACGACTAAATCTGTTTGATCTCATCGACGTGATTCAATTTTATTATTAATTTTAAAATATGAAACAAAACTGACTAAATGAAGCCATGAGTTGATGTTTGTTCTTAGTGGATTTACTGAGCGACGCTTTTCTTGTGTTGTTTGTGTGTTTTGGGCTTGTGTGAGTTTTCACTGCAGCAGGCGTACATATGAGGAAAAAACACCTGAACCGTCCTTCACAATAAAAGCCTTCCTGTTCTCAGTGACGCTCTCGGCTTTTACCTTCACATCTGTTTTTTTACATCTTTATATTCAAGGCAGCTACATCGCTTCTGCAGCGTGGAAACCTCCTAACTCCAACCGACCTGTGAGAACAGGCCCGCTGGAGTTAGGAGGTTTCCACAGGACATCAGTTTCTGTGACTGGCAGGTCGTGTTAGAGGAGGTAGACAGAGACTGACATCAGAGGGGGCGGGGCAGTGACTACGACTCCCAGCATGGCCTGGGAAGGGTGGGCGGAGCCTCTGGGATCAGGAAGTTTCCTCTACATTCGACTGAAGACACCTGAAGGATCACAGGTTCAGCTGTCGGTCTCATCATGAAGCAAATAAAGTCAGAATTTTGTGCTGAGAAACTTTGGTATCTTGTTCAAAACTATGGATGAATTCTAATCTTATTTTACACCTGAAAGAAAAACTGTGCAAACATGAAGCATCTGACTTAGTGTCCAATCAGGGAAACGGTGCCTGTGTCTTTAAGAACCTGAACGGCTGCACTGAGCATGTGCAGACAGCTGATTTCATGGTTTTATCATCACATCAAGGTTGCTCAGAAGAATTTGATCAATTAATGCAGAAAAATGACATCTGCAACCAAAACACCTGTTACAGGTGAGTCAGCGCTACAAACAGTGCTAATGCTAATGCTAACCCTAAAAGCTAAAGCAGAGGAGGAGGTTTCATAAAGTTTGACCAAACTTCCTGTCAACACATTCCCTGAATCCCTGATCCAAACGTTTCCTCCTGAGCGACCTGTCTCTACAGACTACGTTACCCATCAGCCTCAGCAGTGGAACACTGCAGTCAGCTTCCAGGATTCAGGACATGTTTGTAGTTCTGATGAACTTTCTGTCCCAGAGGCTCGACCCAAACACACTCTGATAACCGACCAGTTGTCTGATTGACGGGTTCCCCACCAAACGGGTTCCTGATCGACAGGTTCCCCATCAAACGGGTTCCTCAACAACAGGTTCCCTTTTGACAGGTTCCTGATCAACA